AAACTACATCAACGGCGAGAGCAGCTTGACTAGCAAATTCACTAATGTACTCTGACACACGTGTAGTATTCGTTTCGAAGACTTCTAACTTCTATCGCTCACCATTTTGCAAAAGGTAGGTCATATTATAAGATGTGTACTATCATGAGGGAAAAAAAAATTTCATATAAAATGTTTGTAATAATTGATATTACTTTACAATGACTTTTCGTTCGCTTTCGTTTCATGGGACAATTACGAAAACACCAGCTCTTTACCAGTTTGCACATAGCTACTGAAAGATGCCCGGTAAAAATCTTCTCGTCTCCGGCCTCACCGCGGTGACCAATCAAACCGTGGTATCCTACGAGGAATATTTGGAAAAAGTGAACGATTCCTCTTTCCTTTTCCAAAAATTAAATTCCGACGCCCTTCATCAATCCCATCTGGTTGGCGGCGTTGTCTCGACGGATGAAAATGATTTGGCTCAGGTCGATGAAGAAATGGACGACGACGACGACGACAACGACGCTGAAGATACTATGCCAATGTAATGTTCTTTCAAACTTCAAGTTTTGCACGTTTTGTTTTGTTAAATTAAACATGAATATTTGGTTGACAGCTTCGTCAGAAGTTTGACCGGAAAAGTTTTAAATGTAAATTGCAAACCGGCAACTACAATCGAAAAATTAAAGGTGAAAATTCAACACCGAGAAGGTATTCCGGCGGATCAACAGAGACTAATATTTTGTGGCAAGCAACTCGATGATGGCCATTCACTCAACAATTATAACATTATGCGTGATTCCACCCTTCACCTTGTTCTCCGCCTTCGCGGTGGTGGTGGTGCAATGAACTACTTCCTTAGCCCCGAACTCCTGGATCCTGGTTATGATTACGATTTCACTGGTCTCGACGATACGGGAAGTACATTTATGAGAGGTCAATTTGAATATCGTCGTCCCTGTGGTTGGAAACGTCATGCACTGAAGGTGCTCAACAAGTACGACAATGATAATAAATGGCTTGGCGTGACTAGCTCTCGTTTCCGTTACCACTCAGCGCCCGACGAATGGCCCGTTTCTTACCACGGAACCTCCAAACATCTTGGTCACACCATTGCTGAAGATGGTTTTCGTCTGAGTAAAGAGCAGGGTGTGCAGTTTCCCTACTCTCAGGGCCTCTACATGTCACCCGACGTCAATGTGGCCGACAAATATGCCGAAACTTTCATTCATGACGGCGTTAGCTATAAAATTATTTTCCAAAACCGCGTCAACCCCGACACCCTGTCCATCCTCAATACCAATCAAGGAGATTACTGGATCAGCCCGAGGGGCACGGATGTGCGCCCGTATGGTATCTTGATTAAAAGGGCATAAAGACAAACATTTTTTTCTTATTTTTATCCTCTCTGTATCATTGTATTTTACCAACGGTTTTTTGAAGGGTCTGTAAGGTATTTTATGATTGTCTGTTTCGGATCGAGAAGCCTGTAACATATTTAGATACATACAAGTTGTTAGTTATTGCAATTGTAAATAAACTTTTGCTTAAACTAGGTTGATCGGGAGAATTTTATGAACGATCGACAAGAATAATGTAATGAATGTGCAGTATGTCAAATCAAATATGACTTTATTCATTCGCGTTTTAAAAAAAATTATAATCTATCTAGCAATGAAGTTGGTTATTAATCATATATACAGTATATATTACCATATTTGGCAAAGTACGATGAGATAGTTAAAGAAAACAATTGTTAAAAAGGGTTACCTTGTCAAGTTGTAATATTAATTGTTTTTGTTTTTTGTTTTTTTTTTTATACTAATTTTTTGAGTATCTTATTATTTATATGCAATAAATAAATAATAAATCAATGAGTTTAACGACTAACATCACCCACTCACAATATACAACATTATTATCTTTATGGAACAAAAAATAGTATTTTTTTAAACCACAAATGATAATAATAAATGAATGTTTAAAAATATCTTTCTTAAAAGAAGATACCAGAATTTATTATTTTATGTAAATAAATATATGCTACCATACTGTGTTTAATTTTAAGTACTGCAGTATATATGTACAAATGACACGTCATATATGGACACGTAACACTCCGAGCCAAATTAAATCGACTTCGGAAATAGAATTCCATAAAGTAATCGGAGATGCTTTCCGTCTTTCATTGTGAGGATCTTTGTTACAGAGCATATATATAGTCGCCCAAATTATTCTTGATAACCTTTTCTTTACTCACATAAAAATGGCATCTTCTAATTCACGCAATTTGATAAATAGAAAAGGCATAAAACGTCCCATTAACAATGAAGAAGAAGAGTCAAGTAGACGTTTGTTTCAAAGACCACGCACTTCAGAATTCGAAACAAACGTAAATTGCATTAGCAGTCAGGTCTCGGATCTGACTCTTGTAGATAATGATGACATGAACATGGACTTTTTTGAATCATGCGAAACGAATACTACACGTGTGTCAGAGTACATTAGTGAATTTGCTAGTCAAGCTGCTCTCGCCGTTGATGTAGTTTCAAACTTTGTGCCTTTTGGAAATTTGATATCAAGCATTTATAAGGCAGGCGAGGAAATTATTTCTTTATATCAAAAAGCCGAATATCACAAGGATATATGCAGTTATATGACTCAGAGAGTCATCGCCGCAATGGCGGCCGTGAAGGATCTAAAAACAAGGAGACATGAGAACGAAAAATTCTTTACCGATGAAAATCTTCTAATATTCAAAGGATTTGTAAAATGCATGTGGAATATACGAGATTACATTAGTGAAATATCGCAACTCGGAAAGATGCGAAGAATACTACAAGGGAATATGATTGAACAAAAATTTCAAGAACTTATCATAGAATTTGAAGGATATATGAAATCCTTACAGTTTGCAATTATAGTGCAATCCAATCTGGATATGAACGCCGAGATAAAGAAGATCGAGCAAAATGTAAGAGACGTTAAAGAGGTAACCTGTGACATTTCTCATATGCGTGTTTGGTTCAATAGTTTATTTTGAAATAATACCAATTTTTTTGTATTAGATGATTAGTCATTACCATGGTGGCATTACCGATTCGCATAACCACATCTCACCTCAAATTCCACTAGTTCGAACCATGAATATTGAATTTTTAAATCAACAAAAGAATCGAGGACTTGAATCATCACACCTGGAATTGTTAGACTTAAACTTATATGAGAAGATAATACCCAATGTTACAAGGCGAAATATTACGAAATGGTTAAATATTCAGTATGGTGATGAAGTGGCGTTTAAAGAATTTACGAATAATACCAGGGATAATTCCAGTGAAATGGAAAATGACATCTGTAAGCAAGTCACGATCTTACAGCATTTGCAACGATCCTCGCATATAATTAAGTTTTACGGCATTGCAAAGGATGGATTTAAATATTACTTGGTAACCGAATGGATGGAGAATAAGAACTTACTTGAATATTATGAGTGTCATCCACTCATCGCATGGTCAAAGAAACTCGATTTTGCCGTTGATATTTGTCGTGGTCTTATATTTCTAAATGCCGTTGAGGTAAATATACATATATAGAGGGAGAGAGAATCCGGATTTTTGAATTTTCAATTGTTAACGATCAAGTTCATTGCCATCATGTCAGATCCTTCATCGCGATTTGCGAGGCGCAAACATGCTAGTTGATAAAAATCACAAAGTTAAAATCGCCAATTTTGGTTTGAGCCGACGATTCACCGAGGTCACCAGGAATATCCAAACGAGTCTAGAAACGGTCAAATATATGGCACCCGAGAAGCTGTCCAAGGGGGACAAATATACTTATGACATTAAATGTGAAATTTATAGGTAATTCAGCATGTGATTTGTTAATACTACAGTAACTATTTCGCACGAATGACAACCTTGCTTCTTGTTTTTTCGCATCAGCCTTGGCGCACTCTTATGGGAGATCGCCGAGCAGAGGATGCCGTTTTCAAGTGGAAATTTGGAATTTCAAGCCATTCGCGATCTGGTGGTCAAAGCCCGTTATCGTGAACCATTATCTCCTGATGTACCCGAATTATGGAAGAAAGTTGTCACCCAAGGTATTCCATTCAGTCACGAACGATTGTAAACGTGAAAATAGTGAAAGTCCCAAAATTACTTATTCTTTAACTTGTTCAAACGATAGCTTTACGCCATTCACCATCAGATCGTCCAGCAATTTCATATATTTTTGAAAATCTTTACCAATGTCAAAAACTTTACGACCCTCAACCACAATTGGCATCATCATCACTTGACACAGAGATGGACGACGGATTTGGATCAGAAAGTGATATTTTAGACATTGAAAAAACGCCAATCGAAGACTCTGAATGCATGAGTGTTCAAGAAGCAATCGAAGAACATAAAAAGGGAAATTCGCAGACAGCATGGAAATGGTTTCTTTTTCACGCAGACAATGGAGATATGCTCGCAAAGTTTTGGGTTGCCTGTTTTCTCTATCAGTCTGAAATTGATGAGCTTAAATGTAAAAAAGAGGAAAATCTTGTGAAGGCAGCCCAACTCTTTAAGGAAACTGCCGACAACGGAAAGCCTGAGGCTCAACTCAGATATGGAAGTTGTCTTTGGAAAGGAAAAGGAGTGAGAACTAATTATAATGAAGCGATCAGATATCTAACAATGGCAGCTGATAATGGAAATGTAAATGCCATGTATAATGTTGGATGTGCTTATTACAATGGCAAAGGAGTTGAAAAAAGTAAAACGAAAGGAGAATACTATCTGAAGAAAGCGGCACAAAAAGAGCACCCCAAATCAATCGAGATGTGTAAAAATTGTGAGATTGATTATTTATATGGATGATTTTAATTTAATTTATTAATAAGATACTGTATTTCGTCAATTTGTATAAAATAATCATTTGACATTTAATATACAACAAACTTAACACTTTAATGAAGGTTCTCAAATAAGACCTTCCTTTTTTGTTTGACCCTTGGCACATTGACTCATTTTAGGCAAAGTTTTCAAGTTAAATCTTTTTGTGTTTACAAAAAATTTCAACTAATTGAAATTTCACGCAGTATATTTATTACCAAGTATCTTGGAAGAATCGCCTGTTATAAAGTTCAATTAGACAAAATTCTAACGTGAATTCATGTAGAACGAATACAAAGTCGCACCTCCTCTATTCCGAAAATAAAGACACTGTTATGAGTCAAAGCGTTGACGACATCCATCACGAAGATAGCTCATTGCAACAGAAAAACAAAAAGAATATAAAGATATTTTTTAAAACAGCCAAGGAGACTTCAAACACAATTACTCACGTTCTACATGATGCAGTTTAGCCTTAGTCAATTGAGGTCCGTAACGAACGATCCCAGTGCACAACGTGCCAACATCTTTCAATTTTTTAAATAATGCAACAATGCTTGGTTCCATGATACAATCGTTGAACATTACAACCCATCTGATTTCGTTTGTAAGTTTCGAATAATGAATGAATATTTGTTTCGTATGCAGGAACATTGATTTGAATTCGTTGTAGAGTTTGAGCTTTTTGCGGGATATTCATGAGAGTTGCCATGTTAAGCGTGAAAAGAAAGAAAAAAAAAATGTCAAAATGTCTGAATGTCTGAATGAATGTCTGAATGAATGAATAAATGAATGTACGAGAAATTTATACATTGATTTATCAACTAATTTTAAGACGTCAATTCAAGAGAATTACTAAACTTTTTCCCCAATGTGACATAATTTGTCTGTCTTCGATAGTTCAGAACCGTTAATTCGAATTTATTCACTCAGATTAGAATATGACAACAAAAGTGAAAAGTATACCAAGGACATCAATTTAGTCCAAATTCTATACCACCACCTCACAAGGTTTGCGCTGTCATAATTTTTACAATATCTTTTGGCCTATAAACCAGATAATAAAATAAGAATCAAATCTCTTAACAAGTTGTATGGTAGAAACTTATATATATATAGTAAATAGATTCTTACCTATCATCCGAATCACAATCAACGAGTCCCATACGCTTAACAACTCTCATACCATCACTC